CGCTAACAGCCCGTGGGCCTAAGCCTGTCACATGGCTGAGCCCAGTGCCTAGAGCTGGGGTCCAAGGGCACAGATGAAAGGAGGGTTGAGGATTGTGGCCGTGTGAGCTACCACAGGTGAGAATTGATTCAGATCATTTTCTTGGAAAGGGAAGGCCAAAATAGTAAATGTCATCAGTGTATGCATCCATTTTGAGAGAAGAGATTTTCAACTGGCAACACCAAGTTACTGCCAATTCACTCCCCGTCGCTACCTCTTAGAACAGTCTTAGGCCAAAGGTCATGGAAAATTTTTGACTAAGTTCTTTTCATTGTGCATTTCTGGCCAGGGTTATATATTTTTTTTTAATTTTCATTTTATCTATTGATTGGCCTCTCCGCGCGGCATGTGGGATCTTAGTTCCTCAACCAGGGATCAAACCCGCACCCTTTGCTTTGGAAGCATGGAGTTTTAACCACTGAACCACTGCGAAAGTCCACTGACCAAGTTCTAATGAGCAACTTTGACAGAGTGTGAGGCAAGAATGTTTTTCAAGTGCACTCCTTCCTAGGTGATAAAAAGGTGAGTAACCTTCAGAATCCCCTTATTTGTCTCCTTATGGTCACCTCCACTTCCGGCACCAGACGCTGCAGAAATCCACGCCAGAATGCAGGGGAACAGGAGTTACAGGCTCTGTGGCCCCACCCGGACCAGGTTTGGGTGGTCGCCACACATGCTGAGGAGAGACCCTGCTCTCTGCCATTAGGCCGGGCATCAGCTGGCCGCACGCCAGGCTAGCGTTTGTGCCCATCTGTCAGGGTGGCACCTGGCCCTCTTCTAGAAACAGATGGTTTCAATTGATCTTTCCTTGCCAGTCTTTCCTGCGTGAACACTCTGAACTTGCCCCGCTTCATCCTGGAACTTAATGGAATCCTCACATGCTCTCGTTTCCTGTATCGTTTTCCTGGCAGCCAAACTGTTTTTCTTATTTTTTCATTCTTTTTTTTTCTCTTTAGTTTTTACTTTTCTGCAATAGTAGGATTGTAAATGGATTTGTATATACAGAGGGGAAAATCAATAACCTGTATTTTCTAGGACAAAATGTAACCTCGCAGCGAAGCACTGACAATTATAAAAAAATCATTTGTTTTTCCATTTCACTGATCTTGACATACAGCTCACCTCATATTCCTAGACCAAACTGACTTTGGCCTCCCTGGATATAGGAGGCTTGGCCTGACAAACCCTTTCAATATGAGACAGAAAATATGAAGGTGCATATCCGCCACACCCTCAGCCTCAAGCTAACAATTTAGTGGCCCAGAGGACAGTAGGGATTTAAAGTTTATTTGGTTTTTAGAGGAAAGACGTGAGTTAGGGCAGCTAAATGTTACAGATACTCCAAAGGCAAGATTGAACCATGGTCCTGAGGCTCTGGCCTGGGAGGAGAGTCGCCCCTGGTGACCTGGCCCAAGGACAGCAGAGAATGTCCCCAGTGCTTGGGCCTACTGATCTCACCTACAACCCAGCCCATGAATGTTTAGCTTAGACCAGTGCTGCCGAGTCGCACCCAGCAATGTACAAACCATAGCCGTGATTGGGTGTTTCTCCTGCCATAAGCCCGAGATGCCACCATTTGAGTTAAAGAAAAGGGGAAGGAAGGCCTTATGAGCAAACACTTCAATATGCATGGAACAGCTGCAGTCAATAGAATTAGAGAGCAAGCCACAGAGGAACCCAAAATTCTCTAGTAGCCACATTGAAAAAAAAAAAAGGAGAAATAACTGAAATGAATTTTAATGATATTTACTTAGCTCAATATAGCAAAATATCACTTCAACGTCTAATCCATTGGAACAGTTATTCATGAGACATTTTACATTCCATCTTGTGTTTTAGGTCTTCAAAATCCAGGGTGTATGTTACATTAATAGTACATTTCAATTTGGAATAGCTATAGCTCATGCACTCAGTAGCCATATATGATTGCTGGCCACCATATGGGCCATTGCAGGCCTAGGGTGTTTCCAGAAGGAGACTCAAGAAAGAGTTAACAGTTTCTTCTCAGGAAGAGAATTAAGGGAATGGGAGATAGATAGTTACCTTTTAACTGTAAATCTTTTTGTACTGCTTGAATGACATGCAAAGTATGTGGACCACATTTTTGTTAATATTTATTTTTTATTAATTTGACTGTGCCAGGTCTTAGTTGTGACACATGGGATCTTCCATCTTCATTGCATCAAGCAGGACTTTTAGTTATGGCATGCAGACTCTTATTTGTGGGATCTAATCACCTGACCAGGGATCAAACCTGAGCCCCCTGCACTGGGAGCATGAAGTCTTAGCAACTGGACCACAGGAAGTTCCCGGTCTCCGTATTTTTTTTTAAGACTTCCTACACTGATATTCCTTTGAGTGATAACTTGGTGTTGGCATGCAAGAGGAAAAAAAGACACATTCCTACACAGATAGTGGGACTGTAAGCCCATACCACTGTTTTTAGAGGAGTTGTTAGGGTTAGTGTTAGGGTTTCCAGAGAAACAGAACCAATGAGAGGAGAATATACATGCCTACATATATGTGTGTGTGTGTGTGTGTATATGTGTATTCATTTGATAGTCATTGAAATTACATTTAACTGTGTTTTTACTGGTGGTTCAGGTGGTAAAGAATCCGCCTGCAGTGAAGGAGACCTGGGTTTGATTCCTGGGTTGGGCAGATCCCCTGGAGGAGGGCATGGCAACCCACTCCAGTATTCTTGCCTGGAGAATCCCCGTGGACAGAGGAGCCTGGTGGGCTACAGTCCGTGGGGTCTCAAAAAGTCAGACACAACTGAGCAACTAAGCGCACACACACATTACTATATGAGCACTGAACTAATTGCTTTTAATCTTCACAGAAACCTCACGGTACAAAGTGTCAGGGACTCCGTTTTACAATGTGGAAACTAAGTAAGGCTGCGAGAGGTTCAGAAACTGGCTGGCAAGTAAAGGGTGGGACTGGAGTTGGAGCTGATTCTCTCTGACTTCGAAGATAGTAGATAAAGATAGGGATGATGAACACACAGGGGCCAATGAACAAGATTTATTATAAAGAACTGGCTCACATGATTCTGGAAGCCAAGAAGTCCCATGGTGTAAGCTCTGATCCAAGGGCAGAAAACCAGTTTCAGCTCACATCTGGCAGAGAGCAGTTTCTCCCTTTCTCTGTTTTTTGTTGTTGTTGTTGTTGTTTTGTTGTTGTAGGCCTGAGGGCCTACTCAGGCCCTCCGTGGATTAGATGAGGCCCACCCACATTGTGGGGAGAGGGGGATCCTTCTTATACTCAGCCTGCCAATTCATATGCCAACCTTATTTGGAAATACCTGCACAGAAATGGCCTTCTCTGATAGCTCAGCTGGTAAAGAATCCACCTGCAATGCAGGAGATCCTGGTTCGATTCCTGGGTCATGAAGATCTGCTGGAGAAGGGATAGGCTACCCACTCCAGTATTCTTGGGCTTCCCTGCTGGCGCAGCTGGTAAAGAATCCTCCTGCAATGAGGGAGACCTGGGTTTGATCCCTGGGTTGGGAAGATCCCCTGGAGAAGGGGAAGGCTACCACTCCAGTATTCTTGCCTGGAGAATTCCATGGACTATATAGTCCATGGGGTCGCAAAGAGTCAGACACGACTGAGCATCTGTCACTTCACAGAAACACCCAAAAATATTGTTTAACCAGATACCCAGGCCCTACAAGGGCCTCGTCATATTGACACATGAAAGAAGCCATCACATCTACTTCTAGAAATTTATTCTAAAGAAACGACTGGCCGAGAGGGCCCATGTTTTATGGACCAGGATGTACTTCTCAGCATCTGAGTTCTTACTGGAACATTGGAAACATCGTGAATGTTGTAAACAGATGTACAGTGAAATTGCACCCTCTGGAGGGGGTGGCTTCTAAAGACAGGCAATGAGAGGAAAATCACCAAATAGTCATAATCGCCATTGAAAATAACTTGGTTGGCAAAGTATTGGAAGCTTAGCACTAAATCCTCCACAGCAAGGTCCCTGTTTCTTGCGGTGAGTTCCTTCTGCAGTAGTTTGCTAGCATATCAGGACCACACTGCGTGAAAAATAGGTATCCTACACACTGGTATCACTTGACAAGATTGGAGAGACACATTGGAATTGAAAGCAACTGAGGAAATAGATTTGTGTCTTCCATCTGAAGTCCATTCTTTGAGTGAACTGGTGAACAGTATTGCCTGTGCTCTTTTTTTTTATTTTAATACTATATGGTTCTATTTATATGAACTTTAAAAATAGGTAACATTACTTCAATGGCATTAGAAAATTAGGAAATTGGTTACTCTTGGTTAGCGGAGGAGAGTTCTGGGGGTGCTGGTGGTTTTCTCTTCATCTTCATCTCTATTATGGAAACTGTTTTCCTTGCTCTGGAAAGGTATAGGGTTCAACCGACATACTTTAAAGGGGTGTGGGTGTAAGAAAGTAAGTGTTGATCACTCAGTAGTGTCTGACTCTTTGCGATCCCATGGACTGTAGCCCACCAGGCTCCTCTGTCCATGGGATTCTCCAGGCAAGAATACTGAGTCGGTTGCCATGCCCTTCTATAGGGGATCTTCCTGACCCAGGGATCGAACCCAGGTCGCCTGCATTGTAGGCAGATTCTTTACTCTCTGAACCACCAGGGTATAGGTGACTCTATAGTATATTGATGTGAAAATATAAAGAATGAAGTATGTAAGGGAATGCCCCCAAATGTCATGTTTTTTTATCTCTAGGTGTCAGAATAGCCAATTACTTTTCTTCCTTTTGTCCTTTTCTTTTTATGTGTGCACACGTGTGTGTGCATATTTAGTGTGTTTTTACCTTTTTCTCCAGTGGCTAGTCTGAAGGTGAATTTTGTACAAGTTCCATAAGAGAAAAATAAGAATTTTGGAAGCCAGTGCTAGGACATCACGAAGTGATCCCTCCGGCCAGAAGAATCGCAGGCCCCTCTCTAGTCCCCCGCTCACCAGGGCCTCCTAAGAAGAGAACGCGACATCTCTGCTGGAAGTGCAAGGTGACATTCTCACGGCTGCCACTTTCAGAGGGATTGGGGAGGCGCTGGAGACAGTGCTGGTGCTTACACATACCCTCCATCCTGCTGGGCCCCCTGAGGAGCAGAGATCTCCTGCCCTAACTCCAGGCTACTGCCCCCTGCGGCTCAGAAGAAATTAGAAATGGCTCTTGCAGAGATGGCTCCCCATCCTGGGGACCCTGCTGCCCTGCCCCCTCCCTTGAGCAGCCACCCTATAGCTGGTCATGCCACCATGGATTGTCACGCCACCACAGCAGGAGGGACTCAGGCAAGCAGGGGACATGTTTCCAGAGGCACAAGCATAGCCTGGCAGCCCTCACTTAGGTGCCGATTTAAAGCCCGAAACAATCCCTTGCAGAGCCTGGCTGTCATTTCCAGTCAATGGGCTCTGGCCTCTAAACATTCTAATGAGAGTTACTCCCAGGGCCCTGCGGCTTCCCCACTCCTCCCCACAAATAGGACCACGATGGGGTGGCGGGGCGGGGTGGGGGGGCGGACAGTCTCTCATCTAATCTATGTAACCAACCACCAAGAAGGCAGTGGCACAACTACTTTGAAGATGAAGCCAGGTGGCGGGGGTGGGTGGGGATGAGGGGGGTAAATTAACTCACCTCTTAGGTATTGGGTTCCCAGGAAGGAGCCTCTGAGACGGAGGTGAGCAGTGGGGTGTTTAGTAAATCTCCCTGAAAAGGATTCCCAGGTGGCTCAGATGGTGAAGAGTCTGCCTCCAATGCGGGAAACCTGGGTTCGATCCCTGGGTCAGGAAGATAACCTGGAAAAGGAAATGGCAATCCACTCCAGTGTTCCTGCCTGGAAAATCCCATGGACGGAAGAGCCTGGCAGGCTACAATCCATGGGGTCGTGAAGAGTCAGACATGACTGAGCGACTTCACTTTCTTTCTTTCTTTCTTTCTTTCTTCTGAAAAGGAGGACAAGGAAGCAGGGGAGGTAGGCCAGAGGCTAAGTCAGCTGTGATACAGGCCCAGTGACAGCCTCGGCCACCCCCATAGGAGGTTCTGGAGCGAGACTGGCCCTTCGGAGTTGTCCCAAGATGGTGGACTTTTCTACTCCAGCAGCCATCAGTCAGTGGATGGCTGTGACCTTGGTGAGGTCTCTGGAGCCAAGGAAGCCTTGAAGGACTGAGGGCTGTCTGCCAATAGTCCTGCAAATAGAGCAAAGAAAGGGTGACACCTCCTTCTGTGAAGGGGTACTTGGACCCCTTCATATCACCGTGCCCACCACTCCAAGGTCACCCAGCTAATGGGTGACAGAGCTGCCACTGAACGCAAGTGATTCAATGTCTGCAGTTTCTGCCCGGTTTCTGAGTTAAACAGCCTCCTCTGCCCGAACTGGGTCCTCTTTTAGACCTTCTAGGAAAGAATGAGCCCCTTCCAGAATTTAGATAACAAGGCTATTTCAGCAGCTCCCTGACTGGCTGACTGTTCCCATTACTAAGGCCATGTGATATTTAAATGGTTTTTTTTTTTTTTGCCCATCTAAGCCAGACAGCACAAGGTCCTCTCCAGCCCACGTGGGTCATTCTGCCCCCACTGTCCACATCAACCATTTTTAGCCCCACTACATTCTTTAGCAGTTTCTAGATGGGCTATAATTATCCAAAGGAATTTTATCAAAACTGAAGGAAAGTCTCAATGAATGCTCAACGAAGAGCATTCAAAGTGTGTAGTGACACTAGAGACTGTGGTTTTCTCATCCTGTGACAGCTTACTAGGCATCAGGAAGCCGAATCAAAATCTTGGCTCAGAGTCCCCCCTTTTCCCATCTCTTCCTTTCCTATCCTCCCCCACCAATCCCTAGCTAAATTAGGGCAGGGGCTAGTAAGCTGCTCAGTCCTGTAGCCCACCTGGAGGTGAGTGACACAGAGGAGAACCTATGTGGGTAAGGCCCAGACATAACCACACTCCTTTCCACCCCTCCTTGGGGGAAGGACTGCTCTTTGCTTTGGAGACAGGAGGATACTGGGATCCAGACACACATGCAGCCATGTTGGGGGAACAGTGATCTTGCTGGCTGGAGGTTTGACAGAGATGAGTGCCTGGGGAAGAACACTGATGTAAGAGCTGATGGGCAAAGGACACAGGTGAAGAGGCAGAAATGGATCAGAATTGGAGAGGGACGATAATAGCCTTTGTCAGAATCCCACTCTGTCCATCATGGTGGTGTCATTCGCTAGGGCTGCCATAACAAAGGACCACACACTGAGTGGCTTGAATGACAGAAATGTATTGTTTCACCATTCTGGAGGCCAGAGGTCCAAGATCAAGGTGTGGGCAGCATTGGTTCCAAGGGTGAGAAGGAGAATCTGTTCTAGGTCTCTCCCCTAGCTTCTGGTATTTTGCTGGCAGTCTTTGGCATCCCTTGACATGTAAAAGCAACACCTCCATCTCTGCCTTCATCTTCAGTTGCTGTTCTCCCTCTGTATATGTTTCTGTGTCCAAATTTCCCCTTTCTTTAAGGGTAACAATCATATTCAATCAAGACCCATCTTAGCGACCTCATTTTAACTTGATTACTCCTGTAAAGATTCTGTCTCCAAATAAAACCACATTCTCAGGTTCTAGAAATTAGGATACCAACATATCTTTTGGGCTGAGGGGAACACAATTCAACCCATGTGAGCGCTAAGTCACTTCAGTTGTATCTGACTCTTTGCGACCCCATGGGCTGTAGCCCACCAGGTCCTCTGTCCATGGGATTCTCCAGACAAGAATACTGGAGTGGGTTGCTGTACCCTTCTCCAGGGGATCTTCCTGACCCAAGGATCGAACCTGCCTCTCTTGTTTATACTGCATTGCAGGTGGACTCTTTATCGCTGAACCACGGGAGAAGCCCAGATTCAACCCATGTGGTTTAGTCACCAAGTCGTGTCCAACTCTTGCGACTCCATGGACTGTAGCCCGCCAGGCTCCTCTGTCCATGGGATTCTCCAGGCAAGAATACTGGAGTGGGTTGCCATTTCCTTCTTCAGGAGATCTTCCTGACCCAGGAAGCGAAGCTAGGTCTCCTGCATTGCAGGCAGATGGTTTACTGACTGAGCTATGAGGGAAGCCCTAACACTTACTAATTCCAAACTTAGAGTGTGCATCTTTGGGTTTTGTCTGCACAGCATGGCTGGCCATCTTCTTCTGGTAAAAGCATTCCTCTTCCTTAGGAGTGATTCCTTTCTATCCATGCAACTACCAATGACGTGACCCTGTCTTCCCATTACAGGGATGAACATGTGACCCAAGTTGACCAGCAGATTTCTCTCTCTGTCTCTTTCTATATTTTGAAATTAAGTGAATTAGGATAGAGAGAGGGAAAGATATTCAAGTTGGGCTTCCATGGTGGCTCAGATGGTAAAGAATCTGCCTGTAATGTAGGAGACCTGAGTACAATCCCTAGGTCAGGAAGATCCCCTGGAGAAGGGAATGGCAGCCCCCTCCAGTGTGGTTGCCTTGAGAATCCCATGGACAGAAGAACCTGGTGGGCTACAGTCCATGGGGTCGTAAAGAGTTGGAAACGACTGAGTGACTGACACTTTCACTTTCCTAAAAATTAACCCAGGCCCAGTCTGTTTCCTGTATTTGGCTGTTTCAGGGAAATCCTCCTGATGACATGCCTGGACTGTGACAAACCCAAGGCTGCTGTGGCTGATGAAACAGCCTGGCTTTGAAGCTTGAACCCCAACTTCCTCATTAACTAGCTGGGAGATTGACGAGTTTTCCCATCTATGAAATATGATGACAACAGTGCTATCTAAGAGCAGTCTGGCAGGGATCTGTATGTGGGAATGTTTTGCATGAAGCATAACTCTATTCAAATGCCTGTCATTATTAGAAAGGTAGAAATCTAGGACTCAGAGAGCCAAAGAATTCTTATTCTTATTCAGTGTTTGACCAGTCCTGACTTAGCACGCTGGCATCACACTTGCCTGCCACCACTCTTGACTCTGTTTTCCGGTTGAGCAGGGCCATGTGACCACTTCTGTCCACTGAGTTGTGAGCTGAAATTGACGGGTGTCACTTCCCAGCCCAGAGTCAGTGTGGGAGGGACTACACAAGGGCATGAATACAGTTCATCAGGCCTCACCAAATGGCAATCTACCACAATGGTCAAAGTCACTCATTTATTCATGCATTCACTCATTCATCAAATCTTTTTTGAGCACCTTGCATAAGCCCAGCAGTATGCTAGTCTCTGGGGATGCAGAGACAGATAAGCAGGGTCAGTTTCCCAAGGTGCTTGCTCTAGATGTCAAAGGGGATGTAGGTGCAAGCAAATAATTGCAATATAATGTGTTCATTCCTTTAAGAGAGGGGCACACTGTCTGGAGCACGCCGGAGAGACTTCCCGGAAGAAGTGATGTGTGCACTAGCTCTTAAAAGGCAAGTAAGTGATCACCAAGTAGACCAGGGGAAGAGTCTTTCAGGCAGAGGAAGCCACGCCTCCAAGGACACCAGATGTTGTAAAGGTTATGAGGAGAGGTTCCCAGAGGCTGGAGCCTAGGGTGCATGCAGTGTGAGTGTCAAGCTGAGGCGTTTTGATCTATCAGATGCCAAAGCCCGGAAGCCAGATGAGGTTTTCTAGCAGTGGAGCACCATGAGAAAAGGGGGAACAATTGGAGGCAGGCCAGGGAGAAGGCCACTGCATGAGTCCTGGAAAGAGATGATGAGGCTCAAACCAAGGCGTGGGTTTGGGGTTTGAGGCAAGAGACCAGATTCAGGCAGAATTCTGGGATATAAGAGATTAGATGTAGAGATGGGGGTGGGGGTGGGGCTGAGGATGACTAATTTGAATGAATGGCCCGAATTCTTTAGACAGAGGCCTGGCATGAAGAATACCAGCCTATCAGACCTCTGAGGCTTGTGTGAGAAGCTTGTGCAGAGATGAGTGGTGTGTGGCAAGCATACTCTGTGAGCCCTGTAAATTGTAAGGAGATGGCCTCTCTCCCTTCTCCAAGCTGCCCTGGGACACTTAGAATCAAGCCCTGGTTCTACTTCTAGTGAAACCCAATCAGGCACAAAGCCTTTGTCTGTCACTTTCTCTCTCCCCATCCCTT